ACCGGGGTGGTTCAGAAGCGGCATTCCAGTTCTTCTTGGAACCAAGTCCTTTGTTTGTGTTTGCATGAGACTATGAGAGAGGGATGTGGAACCCACCACTGTAATGAAAGGGTTGATCATGACCGTCTAATATGTTTGTTTTTCGTTATAATATACATTCTCTAAAGAAATCTCGTTATCCATATGGATTTTCTCTCTGGTTTTATGGACAAGACTGATCGATCTACTGTGAGAAGAGAAAGAAAGATCCGTTTGGTAGATAAGAGCTGAGGCTCTGAGTAATTGCATGTGGCCCAACGTTTCAACTTTCAGTGGCTGTGGCTGATACATAAATATAAATATAGAGAGACTCACTCAGTCACTCGCTCACTCATGACTCACAAACTGACAATCTCTCACTCAAACTCAGAACAATGGCATTAGTAATACTTGTATTTGAAAGAAAACGTTAGCATTTGTTAGAATAGAGGGAACGTACAAGTTACAAGTCAACACACAGTCATTCAGTTCACTCATGACCAACTGCGTCTCTGCCTCTGTCCGCCAGTCGCCACCCCCTCAGTGAAGTGAATGTGTGTGAACCACTGAACTCACTTTTTCTTTCTCTTTCTCCCTCCTTTTTTCTCCCAATTTCTTTTTAGTAAAGATACCAAGAAAGGGAGATAAAAACCTAACGATGTCACCCTAGCGAGAGAGAGGGAGATTAGAAAGGAAAGAAAAAGAAAAGGAGGAATAATCAATCATAAAAGAAGAAAGGAGAAAACTAATCAAAGTTGTATGAGGTTGGGGAAATGATAAACCGGTTCATTAACCCACTGACAACACGTACGACAATAACAAAGCTGGAATATTCTATCTGGGTTCAAAGACAGGAATGGCAATGGGGCGGGATGGGTTTTCTAAATTTTAAACCCTACCTGTCTTTTTAAGCCTTCCAATTATTTTGAGAATTCAAACTCTTCTTCCACATGAAAATATAAAATTCTCCCAAACCCTATCCTCCTGCATTTAAGGGTAAGATGAATTGGATTTAGATTTCATCTTTAATTTTTAATTATTTTTATTATTTATAAATAATAAATAAGTAAAATAAAACATAATCAAATAACAAAAACATCCAATTATTTGATCCAGTTCTGGACTTCGCTTTATCCGAACCCGAAATGGTGGTCATTGTTTTGTCCTTTTTTTCCCGAAGGGTGATTTGGACACTGAGCCTGAGATTGAGATATACAACTCAAATCGGGCCGGGGCACTAAATTAGTACATAGGACGGTTCGCACATGAAAGCCCAGTTTGGTTTTGTTTTCTCTTGTTTTAACTTTTTTACTGCCCAACAACCAACCAAGAGGATGGACTGTTAAGAGGGTGGAAAAACTGGAAATTTAACCCAAATGCGAAAGATGTTGGTCCAGTTCCAGTTCCAGAATGTATTTACAGTATCTCAATTTGTCATATTATTTAATAATTGTTGGTAGATATAGGTACGACTAAGATCCATTTTTCTTGGGTTTTTTATTTTTTTTTGGGACGGTCTATTTCCACTCCACTTTCCACGGACTCAGGTCCAACTCCAACCCGATCTCTACACCTTGATTTTGTGGGACCTATCGGGAGAGTGAGACCCCCTCCACTTGGAAATCGGCTTTTATTAAGTTTACATTGTTTTAACAGTCTTTTTCAATCTTACTTTAGAAATATCTCCCTATAAAATAAAATGCATAAGTGTGGAGATATTCTCAATGCAAAGTTTCAGTCAATGTATGGCTCGGATGGATTAAAGCCGGATTCTTCCATTTGAAATTGGGTTCAGTCAGTGCATGACCCGTTCAAATAGCCTTTTGAACCTTGCATTGAGAATATCTCTCCGTAAAATAAGGTATATGGGTACGAAACGAAAATATTCTCAGTATAATAAGATTGAAAAGGCTGTTCGAACGGGCATTGCACCGGCTGAAGCCGATTTCCCTCCACTTACCCTTTATTTTTCTTGATCAAACGGATTTCCGTTTAAGGGGGTGACGCTGTTTCTGTTGCAGATGGCAACCCTGCCAGAAGAAACGTAACTCCAGAGGGCAGTTCCGTCATTTACGTGAAAGTTGGAAGCTAGTTCTTTTATCGTAAGTGTAGTATTTTTGTTTTCTATGGGAAAGAGGATGAAATGAATGTGTACTAGAAAGAAATAAATAATCTGGAAATAACAGTGAAAAGAGATGAAACAAAGTAGCGCTCTCTCTACTGTATTTTCACACTGAATTCAATTTCATGGGTTTGGGCGCAGTTGGATTGAAAACGGTGGGTCCCCACCCCACACCCTCCATCTGTCCTTCAGATCGTTCATGTACGCTGAAGCAGGACGAAATACGACCATCGGTTAGTCGCATTCCAACTTTATCGGTTTGCATAGTTAGTGGGAAATGTTTTAGTACTACGTGTGTTGGGGCAACTGATAGCCACGTGGCTATGAATTTGTAAGCATCTCGGCAGTGTGGATTAAATAGATGGACGTCATTTTCCAAGCTCACGGGGTGACGGTACGCAACCCTTTGGACCCGTTTCTCAATCAATTCCCCTCGTGAGTCGTGACTCGTTTATGCTTACAACACTCTCTCCTCAGTCCTCACTAGTAGTCAGTTGGTGGGAACGTGTCATGGGTTCGGCCCACATCACATGCTAAAACTCAGCTAATTGGACTGTGGAGGATTACTGAATCATGAATTCTCTTCTTCCTGTCTTTATGGGTTTAGGGCCTTACTAATACTATATACTATGTTTTTAATGCACGGGGACCCTAGATTTGGCCCTCATGCTTCTCAACCAAAAGGAAGGAGAAAGAAGAAAATGACAAAAAGGAAAGAAAAAGGAGTACTAAGCATCACAATTAGGGCAAATTTTCAAACACTAAATTGGTGAAGTACGGTTTGGGTAGTGCAATTAGTGGGAAGAAGAGGGGCCATCTCACCTCAGCAAGCCATCACTTTAAAGAAATCCCACTCTGGCCATAATAATGAGTACCGGATCTGGATCATAAGATTCCATGGAATTAATATTATTTTGTATTTTTATTTTATCAAGTTGACTGATAAATTAAGGGCATACCTATTTTCTCTAACTACCCATTTGTTGTCGCAAAGAAGAATATTAGACCTTTAAATGCTTTCCATGTGAAACTCATAATATTAGTTAATGGTAGTGAGACTCCATTCCTCCTTTTAATTGGTTTTTTTCTTATTTCTTCGTTCTTATATTAAATTCGACACCTACCAATGATCTTGAATGGCAACTCTGAGAGAGAGAGAGAGGAATGAATTCATTTCACAACTTAAAATGTGAATTCGGCTTTGCATGGTAATTCACTATATATTTATGTCATAGTATTTTATTCCATATATAAGTCAATATGAGTCATAGGAACAGTCGGTCCAAACCATTCAAGGGAATAATTATGGATTTATGGGTCATACAGACATTTCGTTGTATGCCAGCAATATTTTGACTCTATGCTACAATGAACACTTGAAAATTGAAATTGCTCAGCTAGTCAGCAAGATGTTTAGGCTGGTTCTGACATGCCACATGCTTAGATTAGTTTTGCTCTCCAGTCTCCACTGACTCAACATTACTTTAGGAGGGGTAACCGGTCTGACCTAAAAAACCAGCCCGATCTAAAACGAGGCCTGGTCGGCTTAGAGTTGGGAGTGAAGCATGGAAGACTGACCCAATGGGCAATGGCAACATCCATCCAGCAGTCCAGCGTTGAGTGGAGAATCTGAACTGGACTATTGACCCATCATTACCCAACTATTAAGTTGGGGTTAGTGCCTACCAACCCAAACCAGATCAGACCTGCTCCTGGCTCCTGGCTCCTGCCTGCATATTTGTTAACGCCGAGCCAAACTTGAGGTGACCGCTCCGGCGGATTCACTGAAGAATCAGGCTGGTCTGCCTGCAGGTCCGGCTCCGCCCCCTTTTTTTTTTTTTCTCAATCCGTCAATAGGATCAGAATGTCTGATAGGGCTTGATTTGAGCATTTCTTTTTGGGGACGTACCCGACCCATTTCACTGCCCTACTCTATCCAAAGGCCCTAAACCCTGAATTGTTGATTGTTGATTGTAAGGAGAATCTAGACCGTCCAATAGGCGGAGGGAGGGATGAGGAGATCAACGAATTGTCGATTCACTGCCCAGCAGGCCAGTAGCCCAGATTATTGTTATTATTAGCATTTAATGCAGGGGCTGATGGTTGGCAGGTTGGGGTGGTTGGGCCCCAGCCGGCCAAGCCCTTAGCCCTGTTGAATGAACTGTACACTGTGTATAGTGTACTCAACCTTTCATACATTTACATAGCTCATCTGAGTTGACGAGCCGTGGTGTAAATGTGCCCCATGGACTGTTGCGATCATACCATCAGTGCGCAACATTTGGGGCACCAGTCTCTGTGACTCCTACTGCCTACTGCCTACTGCCTGTTGAATGCTCAGGATCAACGAGTCTTGCTTATTGTAAACCAGAGCTTCGTTTCAGTAATCAATAGTTCTATCCTCAGTAGGAGAGGAGGATGAAGAAACACTGAATGGAGGAGATACACTATTAAACACACTTGGACTGAAGAGGAGTAGAACTGAAGAAGAAGCACCGAATGGAGGAGGTATACTTATTAAACACACTTGGAGCTCCGTAACCAAAACTGCTTGTCTGCTCCGCTCCACTGAGTCCACTCCACTCCACTCTCTCACTAGTCACTCCCACTCTCCCAGGGTTACTTTCGGAAATTTGCACGGCTCGGTCATGGTCAAACTTTAGCAGCTCAAGGAAGTGGATCTCTGACGAAAAACGAAAGTTTTTATCTGCTCCCAGCGCGGAAGTCTGAAGGACCAACCAAACCAAACCAAACCTTGAGGACTTAGTTGTCATTTTTACCAATAACACGTTCGGCATTCTTACAAAAGCCGAGGGTACCCACTCGTCCATTTCTCTCGCCTACCTCGTCCACGCTTTAAAACCACCCCCAAAGCGGGAGTCGACGCGAACGGTAGACTTTCCTCCTTACAAACAGTCTCTAGTGAGAGAGAGAGAGAGAGAGAGAGAGAGAGAGAGAGAGGAGGGGAAGAAGAGAGACGGGAATGTAGACATAGAGATTTGGGTACAACAGGAAATAAGAACCGGGTGTTACAGAAGGAACATTAATGGAGACGTCAGACAAGTTTCAATAAGGAGAAAGAGGGAGAGAGATCGAGGGGAACAACCAAAAATGACGACAGGGATAATCCATGAGCAGAGCCTGGAGAAGCAGATGGAGAAACAAATGGGTTGCATGGCCGGATTCCTTCAGCTCTTCGACCGTCATCAGCTTCTCGCCGGGAAACGCCTCTACTCCACCAAACGCCTCCCCCCCTCTCCGGTCAGATTCTTTTCTCTCTTTTGCATTCTTTCGTTTTACATATTTTGTGTTCCAATGGAAATTGGTATAACAAACAAAAGAGTTCAATTGCCTGACACACTTTACTGAAAGTTCAGGCCGTTGATTCCACAAGTGAGTCGGAGAAATCCGTTGGATCCCCGACGTACACCAGAGAACTTCACCCGTTAAAGCACCAACAACAGCCTTACACGCGGTCATCCCCTGAAAGTGTGAAGCATCCTACGCCGGAAACTTGCTCTCCGGCTCCGGAACTGGCAAACCCGGTGGAGACTCCGGTCAGAAAGCCTCTTCCTTTTCCAGTTTTCGAATTCAAGGAAGGTTTGCGTTCTTCGTGGAAGTTCAAAGAATCTCCACGGCTTTCTCTGGATAGCAGAGCAATTGTTGACGGTAAGGGAAGCCTATACCCGAGGGAGATCCGAACCAACGCGGCGATTTTCGCCGCGACTCAATTCGAGAGCTCTGCAGAAACGGCGTCTCCCGAAGATAACGACAAGCAGCGTCGTTCGCCTAGCGTCATAGCCCGGCTTATGGGCCTCGAAGCGCTGCCCAACTCCGGGCGCGAGCCTCTCAAGAAATCAGACCAGCCTGAGCTACGGAGATCTGCTTCGGAATCCAGAGTATCAAGAGATCTGCTTCAGTATCGTTTCATCGACGGGAACAACTTCCATCTGAAGCAGCAGTTCCAGACCAGCTTCGGAGTTAACGTCACCAGCAATGTGATTAGAGACAATGCAGCTCCGGAAGATAATAAGTCTAACATCAGGAAACCGGATTCAATTGACTTCTGTGTGAGAGAACCAAAGCCCGAACCATCGCGACCTTCGAGCGGAGGCCTATCTACGTCATCATGGAAGACGCAGCAGCATCGTAAGAGTTTCTTTGACACGCAGGATTTCTTTCCGGAACCAAAACACACGGACTCTCTCTACGGAGAGATCGAGAAGCGGTTGAAGATGCGGGGAATCGATGAACCAGCAAAGGATCTGGAGACGCTAAAGCAGATTCTAGAAGCTCTGCAACTCAAGGGACTTCTGCATTCCAAGAAACCAGCAGAGCAGATCCGACACAGAAATTTCATATATGACCGGAAATTCTACGCTGAGGAATCGCCGATTGTCGTCATGAAGCCATCTAAGTCACCAGTTTCTATCAACCGGTCCGGGAGAACAGCAACAGAGTCACCTCTTTCGAATTTCAGATCCAAACCTGGAGTCCGCCGGAACCTCAACCTTGCCGGAGAGTCATTGCCACCGGTTAGACCGAGGCGGGATCGGCCGGAAATTGATCGAAACATGCAAAGTGAAAGAAGAACGAGAAATTCAAAGTCACCTGATCGAAATGAGAGTAATGCAAGAAGTCCGAGTTCACTTGCACGAAGAAAACAATTGAGTATCGATACCGAGAGGAGAGCAAATGATTCAGTGGAGCAGCAGCGGAGAACCTCTCCTATTAACTCCCCAAAGGTTAATCCGAAGAAGGTCGGATCGGATCAAGCGACAATTAGATCACCGAGGAACAGGAGACGGACACCTGAAATTTTTCCAAAAGAGAGAATTTTCAGCCACGCGGAGGATCAATCATCCACTGTTTCTGAGAGCAGCATCAGTACGTCCTCTCTGGCCGATACAGAGGTGTGTGCGAGCGAAGGCTTCATTAATGTTCTGTTTTCTTTTCTATGAATTCCATTCTGTGTTCTCACTTTTCCAAGGGAATGTAGTTTCAGAGATCGAAAATGGAAGAATACAAGGAAGGGAGGAGCCTCCTAGAGAGATGCGACAAGCTGCTTCACAGCATAGCCGAAATCACAGCAACCGAGTTGCAGCCGAGTCCCGTATCGGTCCTTGACTCGTCTTTCTACAAGGACGAGTCATCCCCTTCGCCAGTCATGAAGCGTTGCATCGATTTCAAAGGTACAACGCTGCTACACCCATTTTTTTTTTTAGGTCTGGGGTTTTGCAAACTGGGTTCAGGCTTCAGGCTTCAGACTTCAGACTAGGGTAGGGTCGGAGCCCTTTGATCGAAGCTGTTGGATCTAGTGTCCTTGTTTCAATTCAAGGGCATTGCTGAGTCCTGAATGCTGATTGCTCTGCTCCAGGCATTGATGAACTGTGACCATGATCTGATTTCAACAGAATTAAATAGGAAAAGGACCGAAACCTCCCTGTGCCTGAACTAATTTACCTGAAACCACCCTGGGAATTAATTAAAATCTCTATTCGATAGGGACTGGTGCTGTGTAAACTGATGGTCGTTCGTCAGGGTGAATTATTTCAGTTCTGGTTTCGTTTGGCTTGGAATATGCAATTATGTGCAACTACAGGGGCACTTTTGTTACTTAAATTTCTACTTTGTTCTTCTTCTTTGCCTTGCCTTCAATTTGTTGATTCAATCACCAGATCAATCGGGAGAGATAGAAGACGAGAACTGGAGCCCAGTGGTGTCACCGGTCCGGTTGAAATTTGAAGACAAATCGGATGATTCTGACTTCCTTTATATCTCGGAGATTCTTCGGGCTTCCGACTGCCTGTCCGAGGACTGTGATGTCTTCTTCTTACTGGAGAAACAATATTACGGGGGGAACTCTTCGTGTGATGATACTTCCGCTCTCCACCGGAAGCTTGTATTCGACACAATCGCTGAAATTCTGGATAGAAAGAGACAGTTGCCGCCATGGAAGGCCTTTTCTGGGACGAATTCTGTGATAGGAAAGCCGTCGTTGCGGCAGATATGGTCGGAATTCCGGAGGATCCGAGAGAGGGACGCGGCGGAGGACCTGGTGGAGATCATCTGCGGGGTGCTTCGCAAGGATATGGCCGGAGACGGCATCAACGGATGGGGGGACTGTCCCGAGGAGGTGTCGGAGATGGTGCTAGATATCGAACGTATGATATTCAAGGATCTGGTGGCCGAGACGATCCGAGATCTCGCAGTCTCTGCCCCGAAAATCAGAGTCCCGGCGCCACCACCTAGGAGGAAGTTATTATTTTGAATGAAATTATTCTTGGCGCGCTTTCACTTTGTTGGGTCTCGGACTCTCGGTCGGGTTTTCGGTTTTCTTCGTAAAAATGGGAAAGGAAATCTCGTTTGCTTTTTAGATGATTTTTGACTTTTTGTGATTTGTCCCACTGAAACCCCACCAAAAAAATTAATAAAAGGAAGAAGATATCAAAAAAAAAAAAACAAAGAAAGAAATTCTAACGTTGCATTCACGATTCAAGAAGGTAAAATCGTATCTACTTGAGAATGTCACGTGCGCCAACACGTGCAAGAGGAGAGAGAAAAAATATATCTAAAAAATTTGGGTTGGTCCACCAGATGGCTATTGGAGGAGGCTAAACAAGGCCCAAAAGATTGATGGCCCACTTGCCTCCTGTAATTAACGAGCATGTGGTTTGTTTGTGTGAAGTGTAAACTTTGCATTTGGTAACTGGATTACTTATTAGGTTATGTTATTATTAATAAGGATAGGAAAAAATCGAGAAATTCTGTTGTAGGCGAGTACGAGAAAGATGCTATTACGGGAGAAAGGACAAGGGATGACTTGGGGACCTTGGTAGTACCTATGTACCCAAATGATGATGTAAGGAGCATTATTAACCAGTAGACCATATCTCAGTTTAACAAAACTAAAACTACCCTACTTATAAATTGGCATTCTGCCATTACCAGTCTTTCTTTTCCAGGGCCCAGAGGCTGAGAGGCTGAGCTGATCAACTGAAGATCAAACTTACTTTGGTTCAGCTGAGGGCCCTCCCAGGGTTCTGCTGAAGATTCAGCTGTTGTGAAGCACTTCGGTGGCAATTAGTTGAGTTTTTCATTAGCTGTTCGAGTTTGGTTCGTAAAAATCTCGGCTTGGTTTGGTTTTATTCAAGTTTGAGTTCGAGTCCAATTTATTAGCTCAATTATAAAACGAATCAAGTTCGAGCCTATTAAATCTCGGTTCGTGAAATATTTTTTAATTTTTTAAATATTAAATAAAAAATATTTTTATATATAACTTTTTATTTTTATAAAATATTTTTTTCTCAAAATCGAGCTCGAACCGAGCCAAACTCGAACTTATGAATTTTTTACTCGAGCCGAATTTGAGTTCAAGGTTCTGGTTCAAACTGAGCTCAAACTCGAGATCAAATCTTATAGAACAGTCTCGAGCTGAGCTCGAACCTCATACTATTCAGTTCACCTCGGCTCGAATCCACCCCTAAGCGCTTGGGATGAATTATTCAGAAAAGGCTGAGTGCTGAAATGCAAATGATTGACTGACAGTTGATTTGGGCTCTAGATTTTTCATTATACAAAGATTTTATGCTGTTCATGTGAGGCCAACCTTGGAAAGCCTGAAGCTGTAATATTTCTGTACTCCCAAACAGGCACTAAATTGATAATTGGCTCAAGTGCCTAAGAAGTAAGACAATTCAGAGAAGTCGGATAGTCTTGGGCTCTAGGCAAAGTGCCAAAGTGCTTTCCATAAGCTATTCAAAGAAGCTGAAACAGGTAGCCATTCAATTGGACGAACGATAGCTTATTTCTCTCCGAATTTTTCACCAAATAGAACTTCAGCTCTCTCAAATGGGACACCGATTCTTGTGACTAGACCTGTTCATAAGCCGGGATTTCACTTGTTACCAATGCAATATATTGAGGTCTGCGCCTGAGCCTGAGCCTGACCTTTAAAAAAACCCGAGGCTGAAGCCCGACATTGCAGTTCAGACATCTGAGTTCACCAGAAGGTTGGCGAACTGGAGAGAGTGAGAGAGAGACCTAATGACTGGTTGCTGGCTTGCCGCTAGTACAGATGCTGTCGACCTAACGTTGGGAGTGTTTGGAGCAGAGCAGGGCTTGGAGAAATGGAGATGCCGTCACATCGCTGAGAGATAGTTGAGGACGGAGCTCGGAGAGATACCGTTGCTTTGCTGGTCACCAGATAGCTGCCTGAGTGTAGATTGTAGAAGTACTACCGTCAGCCATTGCTGTGAAGGGGATTAGCTCGTCCAAATCTGGGCTAGGGTGTGAGAATATATATATATATATATATATATATATATATATATATATAATATTGTCGGGCCGGGTTAGGCTTGGGTTGGGATTTTTGGTGAAATCATGAGCCCGGCTTCAAAATAGGTCGTGCTTAGAGAATAGGGCCCAAACCAGGGCCCATGGGCCTAATAATATGTCCAAGCCCGATCGCAGCCGGGCTGGGCCATCAGGCTACGTGGCCCATGAACAGGTCTACTTGTAACACAATTTGATAGTTTAACCAGTTATTGCGATCCGAAGTGATCATGGTCAGTTTTGAGTCCGGATCTGTTATTTGGGTGCATGCCCAGATTGGTTGAACCGGATCACCTGGACAAGTTAATCAGATTTTCCTTCTGAAGACCGGATTTGGGCTCACAGAGCATTTCTCACACCAACTTCATAGCATATTCACATGCATAAGGAATAGCTTTGGTACATGTATTTTGTTATTTATGGAGAGATGTTCCCAATATATGCATACAATGTGATGTGAGATGGTGTTAAGAGCTCTATGTGAGTAAAGACCAAATCTGGACAATCATTGTGGAATTGGACTCAATTGTCCAAATTGGATTTAGGGGTGAGCAAAAAAAAAAAAAAAAGAAAAAAAAACCAAAAAATCGAATCGACCAAAAAAACTGATAAAAAACGAATAAAAAAATCAGTTAATTGAACCAGTTGGTTCAGTTTCAGTTTGATGTTTTTAAAAAATCGAAGGTATCGGTGGTTTTGGTTAACCATAATAGAAAATCAGTGGTTAACTGAACCAACCAATATACATTTATTTCTATATATTTTATATATATTTATGTATATTATATATTATATATATTTTATATTTTTATATATTATAAATTAATAAGTATGCATTATATATAAATATATATTTATAATATATTATATATTATTTAAAATATAATATTATATATATTTATATTTTTATAATATATATTGTAATTTTTAAAAAACTAAAAAACTGACAAACTGAACCGACAGTTAACCAAATTGGTCAACTAGTTAACCGATAGATTTCGATTCGATTTCGATTACTGATTTTCAAAAAACGGATACTACCGATTCGGTTACAAAAAATCCCCCAAGGTTCGATTAACTAAACAGTGAACACCCCTAATTGGATTTGCTCCTCATATAACACACTTCACACCTCAAACCAACCTCGCAGGATATCGCAGCCATTGAAAATATCTTCCCATCAATGACAAAATCAAGGAATATATTTTCAATACACGGCTGAAAGTTCTACGAAATTGGTGTGAGGTGCGCTCGAGGAACAAATCCGGATTCCCAATTGTATTTTCCATTTTCACATTTTGGTCAACGTTACTTAACCCTAATTTTTGTCCTAACCTAATTTCCCTCCATACTTCTTTTGAAAACTTAATTATAAGGTCCCGTTTGGTTCGTGGGAATAGGAGTCTGGAATTGGAATTGGAATGGGCTATTATGATTCCAACTGTTTGGTTGGATGGAATCGAAATCTCATTTCCATTCTTGCTGGAAATGGCATCCCCCCATTTGAGAGAATGGCGATTCCCTGCCCCTTTCTTGGGAATGAAATCCCATTCCTGTTGATTTCAATTCCCATTCCCATTCCTGTCTGAACCAAACAGATTGCGAACCAAATGAACCCTAAATTTTACTGTAACCTCCCTATCATTGATCAGCTCAACGAAAGGAAAACATCAATCCAGATTTTAAATGCAATAAGGAACCAAGTCTAATATCATGATCCAGTGTTAATATCCTTTTGTTCACCTAAAGTGAGAAGAACTGGGTTCAGATTCATAGAGACTCTTTATTTACTGCTATGTCCAGGACAGAGACCCTATCCCATTTCACAACAGTACAAGTTTTCTCTAAAATGAAAAAGAAAAATTGAATAATGACTAAATCGAAGGAAAAGTTTCCTTGACTACTTCAAGCGTGGTGAGATTTGGATCGCAGTGAATGGTTGAAATGGTGCAAGGTTCAAAATATCGATATGCCCGATATGCCGGTAAGGGTGTATTGGGCGTTTTGGTACTCGTTTTTTACCTTTATTTATTTTTTTTTCAAAACTGGTTCAAGGGAGCCGGTCTAGGACCCCTCCATCTCTTGAATCGGTCAGACCCCCGATACGCCCCTACAATACTTTGAACCTTGAACTGGTGATCGGTGATCCAATGATCAAATGGGCTTCCTGGGTTCTAATTATGGTTTTCACATTTTGAACGATCTAACCAACTGGTTAATTAGTAAAACCATGAACCAAGATATATTTTTCAAGGAATCTAGATTCCACCTAAAAGTAGGGTTTAAACGGTATTCGAAAATTTGATTTCAAATTTGATATTTGACATAATCGAATCGAATTCGAATAATCCGAATATCTAATCGGTTGAATTCGGATATCCTATTCATATTGAATAGTTAATTGGATTCGAATTCGGATATGACCTGATTCGATTCGATAAATATCCAAATTCAATCGATTATTTAATTCTTATATATATAAAATAATTTATATAATTTATATATAATAATTAAGTTATATAAATAATTTATATATTTATATACTTTATATCAATAAAATATTTATTAATTATCTAAAATAATTAATTAATCAAATTCAAATTGAATTGAATACCTGAATATTTAATTGGATTCAATTCGGATATTGATTTTCAATATCCGTTGGATATCGAATCGAATTCGGATATTGAATTTTCTAATCGGATTTGAATTTGGATATTTCCTGATCTGATTCGAATTCGATTTGTTTACACCCCTACCAAAAAGATTAATTTGTTAGGTGAGGACCGTGAAGTTTTTGAATAAATTTATTTTCTCATACTCCTTTTCACGCAAAAGCCTCTAGGCTTCAAGCACATACATTCTCATACCGTGTGCTGAAGTTTAATTAATTATAATTGGGGGCAATAAGGATCGAAAACTAGATCACTTGGTCAAGTAGGCATTGATACCATTTGAACGAACCATTCAATCTAAAAGCTTGGGCTAGGGGTGTTCATGGGTTGGTTTGGTTCAGTTTCGGCCTTCTAGATTGTTTGGTC